GCCTCCATGATGCAGTTAGCCTCCTTGGAGTCCTCATGGTCCATCATGGCAATCTCCATGGTGGATGCCAACTAGTCCCTATCAATGGCAGCATCATGGACCTCCATTTGGCTGGTCTCCCATCTGGCCATGGTTTCATAATCACTTTCAGTCCTGAAATCACCGTTGGCCAGCTTCTGGAAAACCACTTGGTGCGACATGGCTGGCAAACTTGATGGCCAACTGCCCGCTTGCTCTCAAGTTCTGGGTCGCGCGTCAGTTACTGTAAGTGGAACTTTTGTGGAATCTCCAAGCCTTGCTCGGTAGACATGGTTTGTGTGGTTTTGGTGTTGTGGTCCATGGTTTGCAATGCCAAAAGTGTAGACAGTGAATTGGTGGTTCACCTTGGAGACGTTGGTTTGACCCTGTTTTGGGACGAATGTTTTTCTTGGTTTAGGAGAACGGTCCTGTTTTTTGGGTGGTTCCAAACATTATTTTTTTTCGACTGGCAGAAGTATTGCGTTGGATCGGTAACGTTGGCCCAGAAACTGACTGGCAATGCTGGTTTCTGGGCTGGGTTTTTGCCAACGATGATTCATTCCAAATGCCTTTTGATTCATTTGGTTCTGCGCTTTGTGTGGCTTTTGAGCACAGAACTTCATCCACAGGGTCGGCAAAAAATGCAATTTAGAGGCCGAGTGCGAAATTTAATTTTTTGGATGCACACGTACGTTTTGATTAAGAGTCGTCAGCGCCTTTAGTTTTCTTTATACATGGGTGATGTTGCTGATTGCGCGTCTTTGGTTGAAAGACAAGGATATTTTTTGCGCTGACCTTTTGAGGTATTTTCTACAGAGCAACGTGTCGAGGGAAATTCCGACCTTAGATGAAAAAAATGCGGCACTTTCAACTGATGCGTGCTATGAACTGGATAGTGTTTTGCGGCCGTGCAGCGTTATTGGAGTACTTTTTTTTTTTGCAAGGACGCAGTTTTTGTTTCAGGTTTTGTGTGAGATTTGCGGGAAAAAAATGAGGGAACAATTTTTTTTTAGGCGGAAATGTTACTCGTTTTTCAGGTTTGGATGGAAGTGTTTCAAGGCAAAAGGTGTGTGTTGTTACTGTTTGTGGGCAATGAAGGCATGACATTTTCTTTGCTGAAAAAAATGTCGAAAACAAATAGTGGTGATCGTGTACCTGAAGACTTTGCAGTTTTTGAGACCGGTGTGCATGGTTTTGTTTAGTTGGGCAGATTGTCATGGAAAAACACAACCGATCTGCCTTCACGGGGTTTTGTAAATGGTAGGTTGTTGACAGGTGCTGAAACTGTCAAATGCAGTTGTGAAGGCTTTGCATCCATGACTTCAGATTTGTATTTAAGGTGGGAAAACATGCGAAACATACACTACTACGTACATGAAAAAATCAAAACAGTGTTTGCTCGGAAGTGGTCTAGTGAGTAAATGCCATGTTCCTTTTTGATTGATCATTTTGGGGAAACATGTTCCGCTACTTCAGACGCTTAAATGTTCCATTCTGCATGCCGACCTTCGGTGAGATCCTCATGTTTCGGTGAAATTGTTCAGCATCCCGAGAGGATACACAAAACTTTTGTCACAAAACCATGCCTAGTAGGGGAGGCCTATTTTTGGTCTTGGGATGATTCAATATATATATATATAACTGCCAAATGTTTGAGAACTGGGGATGTTTCCGTGTCCAGCATGGAGTCTTGAATGACGAGCACGTAGGGTGTAGATTTGGTTGAGGACATTGGATGAGTGCCAGTGGAGTTGCTGTTGAAACTTACATGTCGTCAGGCATGGGGGAGCAGAGGTGATCAGGTTTCAGTTTCAGAAAAAACAAAGGCACTCGATGAGTCGCCGTTTTCCCTGGTTGATGGTGCAGTTTGCAGCTCAAACATTCTGATAATGAATGCAAACAGCAAATTCATGATTCCAAGATCATCAAACTGCAAGGAAATGTCACAAACCATTTCAAACTGGCCCTAAAATGCAGCCACATAAAGGTTTCGAAACAATGTGTCAGAAGTACCGATTTCATGTTTTCTCCGTGTTTTCTTTGAGCACAATTCCCAGCAGAACGGAGCCTCACCCGGCGGAGCAGCAGAGACCAGCGCGGGGCCTCAACAGGGCTCTGACCACCTTCCAGTGCAGCCAAGGGTCCCATGATTTACAGTGTTTCTGAATAGTTTCATGTTGTATCTCGCTATAAATCATGATTTTTTTGCCCAAAAAAAAAATCCAATCTGCCAGGTGCAGTAGCTTGCCAACCAACAGAATTCAACAGATTTCAATGGCAAATGCAATCTCTCACATCCCTGCTTGATGTCAGACTGCAAATTTGAAATCCTTGGACCTCCAGAGTACCTTGAAAAATCCAATAAATCATGAATAGGATATAGGATGGTATAGGCTATATAATATATATGGGATTATTTGAATATGAATGGAATGCTATGATGCCAACCCGAAGATGTTTTTTATCGGGCCATAGATCCATGGGATCCCAATGGATCCATGGCCATTTCATGCCATTTCTCGGGCCATCTGTGGCCACATACGTCCCAATACGTCCCATCTGTGGCCACAGATCAATGTCAATGAGGGGACATATATTATTGATTGATTGCCCATTGACCAGCTAATGATTATATATATATTGTATACTGATTGATTATGTCTGTAGGTGATTGACCATTCCTGTCTTCCACAGCTGGGGTTCTCCAGTTGTGACAGGACGCCTTGGCATTATGGGTTCTGGCGGTTCATCTCAGGCCAGATTTATGGTGAACCCAAATTCAGCAGGGTTTGCTATTGGATTTACCTGCTACTTCTTTTTGAGACTGTGCCTTTGCTTTGTCTGTCTCCCAGTTACACAGTCGTCTCTGGGTCGACTCCTTCCTTCGTTTTCACTGGTTTCAAGCTTCAAAATTTCACTTCAGCCTGAGGTTTCGACATGTTGAACTTTGCTCATGGCGTGACTTTGGCAGTTTCCTTGAGAAGATGACATTGACATTGTTGTTCTGCAAATTGCCGCAGGCGGACCAAGTGGAAACAGCAAGATGTTGAGATCTTAGACTTTCAAAATCTGTGAACATCTGGGAACTGTGGTTGCAAGGTTCGTTGCATGTGGCATGACTTGTTTGACGCTCTTGGCTCCGCGTTTTGATTGTCTTCGGCTCAAAACATGTGCGCCCAGACCACCACTTTTGCACAGTAAGCAGGTTGTAGCATCAGTTTCGGAGTGCAGTATGAAATGTTATTGTTTGGTTATTGTTTGATTCCCGTCGTTTGGTTTTCCGATTCACGCAGGTTGGTTACTGAATCATCCGTTCTTGGATTCAGAAACCTCTTTGGTTTCCAGGTGACACGCAACAGAAGTCGTGCTGCGCTGGTGTTTGCAAAGTGTATTCATGTTTTGCTCCTGCATTTTCTGAGGGAATGACACTATGCCGACCACCCAGGAGCTCGGTGTCTTGGATCTTTGACGCAGGACATGTTGACATTCCTGGACAGAATCCTGAAACTGTATGGGTGACAGGAGCACACCCAGTCAATTGACAGCGACCCGGAAGTTGGGAGGCTCAGGAAATTGGAGGTCAGCTTCTGAAAATGGGCGAAGGGTGGTACTTTTTGATAAGGTCTTCAGTAGCTGCACTAGCTTTTTGGCTCCGAGGTTATCACACAGGTAGCAAGGCTTGGAGGTTCTTGTCGTAGAACTTGGACGTTACCCGACTTCCAACCTGTGCAGCGAGCTTTTGGAACCAAAGCGTTGCCTCAACACAATATTGTGCGAGAAATACCACAATCAATTTGGAAACAGAGGAGGAGATTCCAAGCTTAGATTGCGTTTCGTGGTTTCTGCATTGTTTCCGCTACATCTTTTCCAGCGATCATCCATTGGTTGTACACGCATTTTTCTCAACACCTCTGAGGTTGAGCCTATGACACATATATGTCAATAGATATGTATATTAACATATATTAACTAGGTTTTCATTGGTATCACTTTATATTCCATTGGATCAAAACTTGTTTGACACAGGCAGCTGCAACACTGGAGGTTCCTGATTTTTTCCGTGTTAAGCTCCTTGAAACCACTATGTACGTAGCAACTGATGCAGGGTGAAAGAAAACAGACGCAAAGGAGTGAACAGGCAGAGCTGTCAGGGCATATAGTTTGTGACTCATTTGCGACGAGTTCTTGGAGAGTTCGAGTCACTTGGGATCAGTCTATGTTTGATCTCTTGAAGATTGAGGTATATATTTAGGTATATTTAGGTTATATAATATGGAGTAGTATAATATATAACAGTGTACATATATATATAATATTATATTCACATAGTTATATTGTATAATATAATTTAATATTATATTTTTAACATATGATATTATATTATATTATAATATATCATATCATATTATATAATATAATATAATATCATATTATATTATTATATTATATTATATTATAATATATCATATTATATTATATTATATTATATTATAATATATCATATCATATTATATCATATTATATTATATTATATTATAATATATCATATTATATTATATTATATTATATTATAATATATCATATCATATTATATCATATTATATTATATTATATGATATTATATTATACTATATTATATTATAATATATCATATCATATTATATCATATCATATTATATTATATTATATTTGTATTCAAAGTGAACACTTAGTGAATGAGTCTTTTGAGGGCTTCGCCATGCTTCGCCCAGGCCCACAGTGCGCTGTTCAAGGAGTTGACGTATCGCTGCAGTCCTTGGAGTCTGCCTGGATTGCCAATGGAGTACTCAGGGATAATTCGTAGATACCAATAAATAGAACATGATAATCATGATATGATATCTTTCGATTAAAGTCCTTATTGATATTGATATTATATCTTCCTTTAGGTTACCAGGTGGATTTTTGGCTCGGTCTCCAGTCGTTCCAAAATTGAGGAGATCATGACCTCCATCGACGCGGTCTTCGCACACTTTTCCCAGCCAGATGGATTTCGGGCTGAACGCCTCGGGGATGCCATGCGCGTTCTGGGGATGAACCCCACGGAAGAAGAGGACGGGCATGGCTGCGATTTTCGGGGCGGGCTGACCTTTGGAGTTTTCATCACGAAAGCTTGCATCTCCTGTCCGATGTGCTTGTTTGCCTTTTTTGCTTCTATTTCGATCTGCAACCAGGTCCGCAAGCACTTGGCAGATCTTGGGGGGCCCCAGTACATTGACGAAAGGACGTTTCACCATTTCATCAAGGACTCAGGGTTTGGGATTGGTTCCATGTTTGGCGAAGTTTCACGATGTTCCCGGCGTGTTTTTGGTAAAGTATGTGACTTTGCTGCTGTTTCCGCAATTTTCGGATGTTCAATCGATTTGCGCAGCACCTCGCAGGATGAATTGATCACGCATTTCGAGAAAGTTCAGGCCAGTCAGATGATGACAGCACAGGGCCCAATTTCATGTGTCCGTGCCTTTTACTAGACTCAGTTTCACTGGTACAGTTCTGCGCAGGTAGTGGTTGACTATTTGAAGCAATATGACAAGGACGGCAAAGGTGCCTTGTCCAGGGAAGAATTGCAAGAAGCGATGCGAGGCGCGGTGTGAGATTTGTGGAGTTCCGTTGGGATGGACCGAGTTGATCGACTTTCGGAAGGAACTCGGAAGGAACTCGGATGACTCGGAAGATCTGTTGATTCCCGGGTGCTCCGGGGTCCCTGCAACTTGCGTCCAGGAAGAGAGTGCCAGGAGCTCCAGGTGGGAGAAGTTGCGCAGAAGCGACCTGAAATCTTCAAATTTCCCAAGCCAACAAACTGAAAAAAAAACGTGTTTCACTTGTTTTTTTTCATGTTTCTTCCTCTTCCGAAATTCAAACTCTTAAATCTACTGTGTTTTCACTTGTACACTTGTAGAACAACACTATTTTTGGTTTTCGCAATGGTTCAATGGGTTGTTTTTATTTCTTTGCGTGACCTTGGATTCACCATGGTTTTTCTCACGCTTCCAATGTAAAACTTGCAGAGTCACATAGACAGCTTGGCATGCGTCGCGAGGCAAGTGTCGCAAAGGTGCCGAGCAACAGCAACCTGGATGCAAACTGCAACTTGATAGTTTGCCAGTTGGATGGAACCACACATCTCCACAGGTTGTGGCATCCTTTGCTGCTCGAAATATGGACAAATCCCATCCCACTTTAGGCAGGAAGTGGCCAAAAAAGGTCTAAATCGTGTTTTTTCTGGGCCTTGATTTTTGTTGAACTTTCTATTTTTCCAACGCACAAGGGCTCAGATCCCAGTTTATTTTAGCGCCTGAGGTCAAGGTCACCTGGACATTGTGGAGCTGGCAAAGTGTTTCTTGGAGCTTAGCGACTTTCAGGCAGGTTGCCGGCGGACAGTCACTTTCTTCGTTGCACGTCTAAATCCAGGACATGAAAACTCATGAAAACAGTTCTCTTTATTTCTTTTTCCCCCTTGGTCCTATCATATGTGATTTTGAGTTGAGAATCTCTGCATTGCGCCATAAGTCTAGATATACAGTTGCTTGCTGATCTTTTTCTTCCTCAGAAGATTTGGCACGTATTGCAGACATATTGATTGGGTTGTAATGATGCTTTCAGGTGAAAAAATGCAGATCCATTCTGAAACTGAAGCTCTTTGACCGAAGTTCGGCCTTTAACTTCGCAACCCTATCAATCAGAGTAAATCCACTTCTGGTTGTGCCGGCGAATGACATGTAGCAGTGTACTCATCGTGGCTTAGAAACGGTCACATTTGGCCAAAAAACATGTAGCAGTGCAACAGATTCCTCACTTTGAACTTCAAGAGTGGCGTTATGCCATTTCCTTAGTCCAACAAGAAGAAGGGCTCAACGAAAAAGTGAACAGTTTCTCAACACTAGACCATCAGATTGTTCTGAGACTTGGGGAGCCTAATGCACTTCCTTCATAGCTACTAACGCTTCTTTATTGGACCATCTTCAATTTCTAAAGCTTTTGAGCGGGGAAGTGTGGCGCTTTTCTGACGCCATGGCTTAATCAAACAGGGACAAGGGCGAGGTGACCCTTTTTCGTTTTCATAGAATTAGTGATCTTAAAGCCGTTGGGAACCATTGATCTTAATTAATTTCTGTCTTTCTAGTTCAGAGTTGAGATTGTAATAAATTTCCTTGCTTAGGAAAGAGTCATAATGAGTCTAGGAATGTGCTGAGATAGCTCCCCAACATGATTGCAAACGCAAAGACAACGAACGCCCCTTAGTCCATGCCCGGCATTTATTATTTAGTGTTGATTTGAACGAAACACTGTAAAACGATAGTGTCCCCCCAAAAAAACGATAACTTCTATTTTTGTACCAGGCGTAAACAATTGCACTTCAGTGTGCTGTTTAGAAAAAATCCAAACATATTTTATGTTATGTAGGTGTTTTGAACGACTGTTCTAAGCCTTCATTGGGAGGTCAGGTTGCGGCCATTTGCTTTCCAGCTGTCTGGTGGAAATTTCGTCGTTGAATTTGGTGCCGTTGGGCGGTTCGAAAGCTCCAAAGATTTGTTGCGCTTCAACTTTGACCGGACACAAACTGTGCACTTTGGCACTCCCGAGTCACTTTTCGGGCTTCATGGGTGACGTTCGCCATGTTGCAGATGGGGTGTCCCTCCCTGCTTTTCTGTCAGGCAGATAAAACCAGTGCTGAAAAATGTCAACGAGGTCCAGGAACTCAGAGTTCTGAATCAATCTTGGAAGAGTGTCATACAGTCCTGATACATCTTGTCAGCCTTGATATGGCACACATGCGACAATTGGCCGAATCCTTCGCCGCTGCAAGCAGATTATTGCACCATGTTTGAAATATGCAGTCGTATTGAAGCGCACCTGGTGGTAGGGTACAGCTGTCCTCAGAGTTGCGCGAGTGGAGCCCATGTATGATGTCATTTGGATCATGGAAGGTGATTCACAGTGAACGTCACGCTTTTCCAGCTGCGTTTCTGAGGCAAAGACACTCAAGCTGCCGAGGACAGCGTGCCCCCCAAGTGGACGAGAGTGTTTGTCTCTTCAACGGATAGGGCCACAAAAGAGTTCTCAGAAATAATTGCAACATATTCGATGTTGAACAGGTTATGTTCTGTTCAGTTGAGTTAACGATGGAGGGCCTTTGACATACAGAGCATCTCAACATGTGAGTACTCGACACGATTCTGACTCCAGCAGGAGAGCGTGAGCGGCCCAGCATGAGGCTCAGGAATTGGACTGGATTTGGAAATGTGGTTTGTGTCAACCTTCTTGATTTCTGGATTCCGGGTGAGAAAACAGACAAAATAGAGCCGGATGTGGCTCAGTGGGAGCAAAACTTCTTTGGAAAATCTTGTCAGGTGTGTGAATAGAACATAATAGAACGTGTTTTACCGCTTTAATCTTGTGGGCAACTCTGCGGTTCTTCCATGTCCTTCAATTGGTTGCATAAAAGATTAACAGCTGCCTGCTTTTTTCCTCATAAGACCTATGACTCTGACCTCAGGATCCCTTGATATCTCTTGATATCTCTTGGTGTCCTCGTTTTCAAGGCCTACTCCGCACTGCTCAACCAGATTTTGGCCTCCACAGATGCTGTGTTCAAATACTTCTCCAAACCATCTGGACTTCCGGCTGCACGACTCGGGCATGCCATGGGTGTTCTTGGGATGAACCTCACAGAAGATCAGGATCCTTGGCAGCAATTTTGTTGTGTTTTTTGCTTCCCTGCTATCCTGTTGTGTTAATCAGTTAATGTTTGTTCCTGCTTCTGTTGAAGTAAATCCTCCGCCGCGATCAGGTCGAGAAGCGTTTGAAGGATCTGGGTCGTCCGAAGTACATCGACCACAAGATGTTTCACAATCTCATTGAGGACTGGCGGCATTCATTTTCCTGAAGCTTATGTTGCTGCTGCAGATGTTTGAGAAGGAACATTTTTTTTGATCAACAGAAAGAAAAACACACATTCTTGAATTAAATCTGTCAGCGGAGCTGCTGCAGGTAGTAGCGGGCAAACCCTTGTTTTGAGCACACAAAAGGCCTATGTCAGGCGGTCGATTTGATGTGTCATCCTTGCGCAGGGGCACCCATGCCTATGCACATGTTACAGTACACTTCTCGATTTGTGCACTGACACTCCCCCTTCCTGGGATTTCCCAGGAAAAGGAAAAAACTGCGTAGCTCAAGGCCTAAAAAGGAGCTCCTCCAAGCCAGTCCATTGCACACTTCGGTGGCACTGGAGGTTTCGGCTTTGCGGCTTTTGGCATAACCGTATTTGGGACCATTGGGGCACCAACAGCGTTGAGAAAAACAGCTTTTGGGGGTGGTTTAGGTCCTACTGGTTGGTTTTGGTTCTCCTGCAACGTCACTGGTGGAGCCTTTTGCCTGACTGGTGGAAAAGCTGAAAACTGATGCGGCAAGGCTGGAGCATCTACCAGCACAGGTGGTGCTGAATTGCCGGGCATTTGGCCTGGCCCTGACAACGTCGCATCTACATCTACAGCTCCCTCAGGCCTCCTCAACACTGACAGCGGCTGCGTCTTTGGGTTCGGCGACGACTTTGGTTGGTGACGCCATCCTTGAGCTGCCTCAATCAACTGTGCAGCTGTGGCGATATCATCTTGCCTCAATACTCCAGGTTCTAAAAGCTCCTGAAGCATTTGATTTTCTCTTCTGAGCTGTCTCAGCTCTTGTATTGTGGCCTGCACCCACGGACTTTGTGGTGGTGGGGGTGCCTTTCTTGGCCTTGGGTCTGTTGGCATCCAGCTTGAAGCTGTTGACATTGTGGCAGGCGCAGTAGGAGGAGCATCCGAGGAAGACGCAACTGACATAGCTATCCTCGGAGAACCCACTTGCACCCCAGTGTCTGACATTCCTGTAGGGCCAGCTTGCACTCCAGCTACTGACCTCTGAGGTGGGTACGAAGCTACTCCTTCAGCCCATGGATCATGTCCTAGTGGTAGGCCGTTCCATGGATTGTAGTCATTCCAGATGCCTGGTGGATCGATATACTCCGGCAGGAGTTCTTCTGAGCTTGAACTTGAGCTGCTCGTTGTAGTGTCCATCAGCTCATCATCGTTGGATATTCGTTGTAGCTCTAAGGAAGGCTCTGGGTCTCGACTTCCTCGAGCTGTTGGTGGTGGTGAGTTACTGTCTCCACCTCCACAAAACTTAAACGCTCGCAGTGCTGGGCGTGGTTGCGGAGCATCGTCCGTGATGAGCTCGAAACTGTCGTCAAAGTCAGAGATCGGATCCTCTGCCAGAGTCGCAGCTTGAAGAGCTCGTTCTGCACCTTGAACTTGATCAGAACATAGATCTTGACCAGCACCTCGAAGTTGAACATCACCTGGAAGCGGAGCAGCATCTGGAAGTTTCGCAGCACGTTGAACTTGTCCAAAACGCGGAACTTCAGGAGAATGCTGTTCTCCACCAGAGCCTGGGTATTGACGACCAAGGAGTTGAAGTCCCCTCATGACTTCTTCCAGTTCGCCAGGCTGTTGTTGTACTGCTTGAGGTTGAGGTCGAAGAGAAATGCCTGAACTGGCAGCTACTTGACCTCTAGCTTTTGCACGTGGTTGGTTTGGATCTCGAGCCCCATAGCCACCTGTTTCAGGGAACGCAGTAGATAGTGCAGGGGCTTGATCCCGCACGCCGCTGATCACACTGCCGCTGGTCAGAGACTCCTCTTCTCTGCCGCAAGCTATGTGACCGCTAGCACAAGATGCTTCATGTGATCGGGCAGGCTCCTCAGGATCCAACTGTGTGGGGGCAACTTCAGGTTGATCTTTGAGTTTGAAGACCGTGTAGCCCTTCCATTCCCCATAGTTCATCACCGTAGGAGTTCCTGTCCAATCATCTTTGATCACCTTTTTCTTTGATCTTCCTCCTTCTTCATAAAAGATCACAGTGAACCTGACTGGTTCGAATCGGATGGAGTCCATAGGGCACGAACGGTGCAATGGGTGAAAGCATCTTTGGCGGTGCTTTCCATGCTTTCGGATCAACCATCCTCCAGGCTGGATTGGGTACCAGCGATCATCTCCTCTAGGCTTTTCATTTGTGAAAACTCTCACATTGGGGGGCAGCTCCTCAGCAGCCTCAGACCTCACCTGAAAAGCCTTCAGCCTCATCTCTATCTCCTGTGTCACCTTCTTCATTTCTTTCTTCTTTGAAGTTGACACCTCCTCTGGTAGCTGAGCTTTTGATCGTCTGCATAGCTCGGCATAGATCTTTTGGCAGCACTTCAAAGCCAGCAGCACAACCGCCGCAACTTGGAATTCTCCTGTGAGAATAAGTGCAAGGGCTGCCAAGGCAATTGCCATCATCCTTTTGTAGTAGGTCTCTGTTTGTTGGTTGCGCTGGAGCGTGTCAGAGGTGTTCTTAGGCACGTCCTCGCTTTTCACCTTGTTGAGCATGGGGTGGTCCGCCACCGACATCTTGAGCTTCTTGAGGAAGTCCTCAAAGGCTTGCTTCTGCAGGGCTTTTGTCAAACCATCAGCTACCAGCAGAGTACCAGCCATATGCCTGATTTGCCAGGCTCTTCCTTTTCCATTCCCCTTCTTCAGAACTTCTCTCAGTTTGCTGGCTCTCAACCTCAGGTGACGTGTTCTCCAGCTTCCAGTTTGCAACACAGCTAGGGAAATGGCGGCCTTGTTGTCGCCATACATCAACACGTCGGGGTCCAGGGCCATAGCTTGTGCCAAAGACTCCACACTCGCGCCCATAATTTGACCTTCTTGGTAGGCCAAAAGTTCTCCTTCGGCTGTAGAGGTTGCAATCAGGCTCTGTCTGCCTGTATGCCACTGGATGATTTGACCACCCATTGTTGTGAGCACTCCTTGGATGGATCTGTACGCTTCACCTCCAGGAGCATAAGACACGTCGGCGAACACTTCGATCGTATCCATCATCCTTGGCACCTGGTTCTCATCCATCTCTGTTGGCTCACAAGGAGAGTATTGTATTCCAAGACCTGGAAACTTTCTCAAGTAGCTCAGGATCTGTTCTCCAATCCTCAGGGCTCCAGTCGGGTCACGATGCAACCTTCGACTCATCGCACCAACCGCAAAGGCAATGTCAACCCTTGTTCGAGTTGACACCCATATGAGTTCTCCGGCCAGTTGCTGAGCTTGTCTCAACTGAGCCAAGTCTACCTTCTTCTCCTCTTCATCCTCATCCAAGTCTTCGACCTTGCCCATGGGAACATCGGCTGTCTTGGCAACTTCATACCTGGCCAAGAGGTCCATCACGTAAGAAGACTGGTGGATGTCAAAACCTTGAGGAGTTTTGCGAATCTCCATACCGCAAAACCGGAGATCCTTGCCAAATTCGGCAAACTCTTGTGAGGAGCATTCCCACTTGTTGGCAATGGTGGTCATCAGAGCTTGAAGTAGAGGTTGCGGACCCACCATCAGCATGTCGTCCACGTAGGTTGCAAGATAGCCACAGGGACTACCATCTCCTCCAACTTCTTTGATGAGCCACATGTTGGTCTCCTCACTCATCTGGAGCTCGTAGATCTTGTCGTGGAGTTTCCATTGCATTACCGCAATCTCCTTGTCTCTATAGTCGCTCCAGTCAGCTGGGCTTTCTACCAGACCGTAGACAGCCTTGTTCACAGACCAGTAGCACGGCTGGTGGTTTCAAAACTGTGACATCTCTTTTTCGGCGTGGGGCCAGAAGAAAGGCTCCTTTTATGTCTAGCGACTCGACATCCCAGCTGCTATTCTCAGCATCATCCTCAGGGCCACGACATCAGTTCCAGAGGCCGTCTTCTCCTCAGCCGTGATGTGATCTGTTGTGGCGTAGTTTCCACAGGCCACCAACCTCGCCTTTTCTTTCCACCCGCCTTCACCACAGCAACGATCTTTGAAGGGATGCACTCCATCCTGGTGCCATATTGTTGAACTAGTTCATCACGCTGCTGCTTGGTGATCGGAGAGATTGCACCATTCTCCAGCAAGGTAGATAACTCCTTGTCGATGGGGGCTTTCCAATCCTCCCAATTGTTCCTGACCTCCTGGTTGGAGACGGTGTAGCCTTGAAGGACCTCCTCTTGCTTCTTCTCCAAGATCTCTTCCTCCAACTTCATCCGCTCCTCATGCACCTTGGTCAGGGTTTTCATCCATATCTGCTGATCTGCATCGATGCCATCTATGAGGGCCATCTCTTCTCCGATCAGCTTGCTCATAGCCCAGTGTTGTTGGACTTTCATCTCCCCCCACTCTGCTTCCTCATCCTCACTCTCCTCAACCTCAAACTCTGCATCCTCAACCTCTTGAACCTCGTTGCAGAAAGCGCATTTGCGGAGAGCTCCTTGTTGTTGAGCTTGTGGTGGACAGTGATGGTACTGAAGAAGGCCACATCCTTGACATTCAAGACTTTTTTCATCACCTCCTCCTCTTGTACTACCTCCTCTGCACTCCCCCCCTGCTAGATTCAAGACCTGAAGTCTAGCAGGCACTGTTTGTTTGCCCCGGAGACACCGTCGACGTTCTTCTGCAGGAGCATTCTCTGGGTAACGCCTCTCATACACCTCACCGAACTCTGCCATGAATTGCTCTGTAAAAGGGTCGTACTCCGACTCCGCCATTTCTGTAGGAGAATACCCATCATCTTCGTGGTGAAGTGCATCGAGATGTTGTTGAACTTGCGCAGCATCAGGTTGATATTGTGGAGAAGCCTGCAAGACTTGTTGTGGAAGTTGTGGTGGGAACAGTTCTGCTTCTATCGCGTCCAATTCGGGACACGCACCTTGTTGTTGATCTTGTACTTCGGCTCGAACTTGTTCGAAAGCGTCGGCAGACTTAGGCTTGGGCACAATGACAGCCGTGGAGTAGATGTAGCTGCCAGTGTCCTCCAACCTCACGTAGTACCCCTTGGAGGTCAAAGACATTGATGAAGCCGGACCCATGATCTTCCCTCTTCTCATAGGGGCCAGTAGTCCTGCTTCTCCTTTTTCTCCCCTCTCCCATCTCTTCCTCTTTGCATAGCCCATAGTGCCAAAAGGGATGAGAGCTGGCGTTGACACTCCAAGTCGAAGTAGCTGTTGCCGAAAACGAAGTTCTGCACCATGTCGAAGTGCAAGAGGCCATAGTGATTTGTCCTCACCAGTTGCCAGCAGTTGTGCCCGAGTGAGCGCTTTGATGATACCCACTTCTCGTTCTGCTCGGCCGTTTGCCTCTCCTGAATCTCCCTCAGTAAAGGTCTGGTGAAGGTTTCTGGCCTGTGCCCATCTTTTGACATCTTGGCTCACAAACTCACGAGCCCTGTCAGCATGCAACCTTTGGACAGGTATGTGGATCGATTTCAACTTTGAGTAGATCCATGTCAAACCTTCTACGACTTCCTTCTTGTTTCTGCTTGCCAGAGGGATCGCCACTGTGAGACTTTCCATTGACCAGTCCTTGATCTCCTCTATCACGGCTCTTTCCACTTCTTTTGAGACGCGCTCCTCAACTTCTTGCGCCTCCACCTCAACTGGATCCTCCCCTTTCTCCTTTGAGTCTTTCTCATCCTCGATCTTCAAAGGGTCTTCTTCGGGATTCTCCATCTCCTTGTACTGGTCGTAGAGCGACATGAGAGCCTCTTCCATCGAGTCCAAGTGCTGATCTTTTCCAGGGTCTCTTGCTATGAGCCTATCCAAGCCTTCTACCATAGGTCTCCCCTTTTTTGTAGGGATGGTGATGGTGCCGATGAGCATGTACTTGGCCTTCTTTCTTGACTGATCAACACCAGCACAGAAGGGTCCTGCTGTGTCGACAGAAAGGCAAAACGCCTCTGGGTGCTGCATTCTTTTTCTGCACCTTCCTCGACCAGCAGCTTCAACGCATACACCACAGTCACGGCGGTACGGCACATGCCCAGCAGCAAAGTGTCTCCTCCATGACTCCACCTCCTTCTTGGGCAAGTTGACAACTTTCATGGCGGCGGTGGGCGTGTTTTTGATCCTCTTAGCGGCCACTTTGAGGACATACTTCAGACCTTCTGCCCACGCTGCCCAGCTTTTCGACTGTTCGAGTCGTTGCTCTAGAGAAAGTTTTTGCCTGTCATGTTGTGGAGGTCGATCATCTTTCAAACCATGTAGTTGGGCCACCTCGGGAATGTCCGAGAGGAGGGTCGTTGGCTTTCGTGTTGGGTGTCCAACTGCTCCCTGATCTAGGATCACCTTTTGCCATCCCAGTTGGTCAGCTGTTTCCTTGGTCTCTGGCCATGTCAAAAACGTAGGATAGCTCCCCTCCCTGTATTCACTCGGATCCCTGGGCTGCTCCAGCATGGACTCCATGATGCCATTACTGGCTTTGTTACCTTTTCGGGCCAACCATTGAGCTCGTAGCATGAGAACCGTATCGTCCTCCACCAGCTTCTTTTCATAGTGGTTGAGCCCTTTGAGACCAAACCTCTCATCACCTTCTCGGCTCCTCAAAGGTCTTGGACCTCCATCTTCAGTGTGTCTTGCAGCGCTGACTGTGCGGCATGGTGGACCCATCAAGAACATCTCCACCTTGCCAGAGTCCATGACCTCCTCCAAGTAGCCCATCAGGTGATCATTGAGCATGTCTCCATTGTGGTAGAGCTTGTCGATGCAGATGACATAGGTCTTCTCATCTCGAAGTTTCAGCCACTCTTTGGGATTTGGGCCAGAGTAGAGATGGATGATGAAGTTTCTGCATTCTGAACTCTTCTCCTCATCTTTCTATTGAGTGGAAGCTGCGTGGGATCATAGCTTGATCGTCCTGGGATGCGGTTGAGGATGGCGTCCGGGACGAGGGGAAACTCCTTCTTCACCTCCTGAAACTTTTTGAGCATCTCTTCATCCTTCTCAGACTTCTCCACTCCTCCAAGCATCCTTACTGCAAAGTCACCACGCATCATCATTTGTTCCACTTCCAACATGATCCTCATGCCCACATCGTGTTCCAAAGTTGGGCATCCTTGATCCATCTTGACCTCCAGCCTGCCATGCACGAGGTGTTGTATTTTACATCCATCTTTGTCCCATGCAACCTGAGCTCCCGCTTGAACCAGAAGCGCCATCGGCACAATGGGCTGGCAGTGGTCCTTGGTGAAGATGGTTTTCCTCTCGGGGTGTTGCCTGAGCTTGACAGTTCCTGTCGCTAAGTGGACCGTCACATCACAACTTTGGGTCCACTCATCCATTAATGCCCTTCTCAGACAGTGTGTTGCTCCCCCGTCTATGAGCACTCGGTGATTCTTCTCCTCAGAGTAGACGACCTGCTTGACCATTGCCTTGACTGTTGGATCTCCATCATTCGAAATCCTCATACACTTCAGCAAATTGGTCACCTCGTTCATCAAGCTGCTATCACCTGTGCTCGCCGTCCTCACACTTGCCTCACTCCTCTTATCATCATCAACGTTCATCGAGGCAATGTTTGGATCAGCCTTCTCATCTTTCTCTTTTTTATCCTCCGCTGTACCTTCACTTTTGCCCTTGTCCTTCCCTTTCTTGCCTCCTCCTTTCCCTTTCTTCTCCTGCTGGTTGTTCCGGTTGCCGTTGAACTGGCCCTTGTTGGATGAAGAGGTTGTCATCGAAGTTGACGTCGAAGATGAACCACCTCCTCCACTCCCCCCGACCTGGTGTTGGCCATCTTTTGTCGGACAGTTCTTCTTGGCATGTGTTGTAGAACTGCACAGCCAGCACCTGGTCGACTTATCCTCCAGGGAGTCCAAATCGTGCAGAAACTTGCACGCTCGGCCACGTCGACAACCTTCAGTAGAACCCCACCATTTGCAAACTGACATTTTTCCAGGAGAAGTTTGTTGTTGTGGAGGTCCTTTACCATTGGGAAGCACCTGCATTTGCTTGACAGCTGGATTCTCCTCAGAGTTGGCCGTGACCATGAGCTCGGCCTCCGCAAGCAAGACCTCGTACAGCTTGTTCACCACAACGTCATTGGGATTCACATCGACCTCATACTGAAGCCTGAACGTGCTGACCCTGAAGCTGGCTTGCTGGGACTTGTTGAGCAACAGCTCCATCGTTCTGTCCAGCGCCTTGATCATCAGAGTTGAATCTGGGAGAGACGCTCCCAACTCACTAGCCCTGTTGTGGTGCCTTTTCCACAACCTCAACGACTCTACAGCATCCTTCGCATTTGTGGCTGGGGTCGTTGCTGTCAAGGACTTCAAAGTCTCTGACCTTTCATTGAGTCCACCTGGCTGGTGAACTCGAAGAATCCGAAGCAAGATTCCTTGTGGTGAGAGCTGTCTGGTGGAGATGACCTCATCCTTGATGGCAGTGGGGATGGCCTGCAACATCATCGAGGACACCCGTTGCCGAAGTCGGTCAAAACCTTTGGGGAGCTCCTCATCCGCAGGCGCCTTGATGTAGAGACGCTGTAAAGGTGGTGCCTGAAGCCATTCTCTGTAGCGCTTCATCGTGAGCTCCACCACCTGCTTCCACCAAATTCCAGCTCTCGCTGATACATCTCCGATCAGCGGCTCCAGCTGCGTAAGCCAATCACCGGCCAACAGCGCAGCATTCTTTGTTCCTGGTTCTGCCAAAACCGGCAGAGTGATTGGAATGGACCTCATCTCTTCCTGGAAGTCCATCACTGGCATTGGCGATTGCCACATCTTTGAACCTGCACTCCAAGACTCGCCATCCTTTGGGGGTCTCACAGCCTCCTCGGGGGTCTCAGCCTTGGTGGTCTCAGCCTCCTTGAAGGGGGTCTCAGCCTCCTTGAAGGGGGTCTCAGCCTCCTTGGGAGTCTCCTACCCTTTCACTTCCAAGACGCGCCGATTCCATGTCCCTATACTGTTGAACAAACGGCTTTCCCCAATATTCCTTAGGCCAAACTTTCCTTGGAATTACCTCCAACATTTCTTGAAACTTTTTTTGTTCTTCAACATCTATGCAGCCTCTACCTTGTTGAGCGCCAGACAGAGCTCCTTCACGTTGAAGCCATGCCATCTCGTCCGGAGTCAATTCCCACCCCAGCTCATCACGACGCTCTCCTCCTCGAAGATGCCCTTGTCGAAGAAGACGATCCACCTCGGACATGCTATCAACCCGTGCAGCCCGATGTACTTCTTGTTGAACACCATGCATCACAGCCCGATGCCCTTCTTGATGTCCAGCACGTTGAAGATCTCCTTGACGAAGCCCTTGACCATCTCGCTGGAAATGCACAGCCCGATGCCCTTCTCGATGTCCCCCGTGCATCAAAGCCCGATGCCCTTCAAGGTGTTCACCGTGCACAAAAGCCCGATGCCCTCGTTGGAGTCCATCTCGCATGCCATGCAAAGCCCGATCGTCAAGACATACTCCATCACCTAGATCTTGACCTGGATGTTCGGAGACACGCTTCACCTGTCCCTCATGACATCCCATCCAATCCTTGGCCTCAAACGCACCAAGTGATTCCGGCCACCTTGGAATTTGACCTATCCAAGCTGGTTCACAACTTTCACAACCAGGGGGTGGTCCCGCTGGCACTTCAGCCCCATTTGGGGTATACCTTTTTGAAGGTGACATAGGGGTCATCATTGGTGGTGTTCTCTCAGGCGTTTTGGGTGGTGGATCTGAGGGTGGCTGCGGCGTCACATCAGACCAAGAACCCAAACTACTCGTTCCTGACCTGCGCAACCTCCTCAGTTCCTCTCTCAACTTTCATTCATCTTTCAACGTGTCCACCATTTCCCTTTCCAACAGCCTCTCTAACGACACCTCATCTTCTCTATGCCCTACATCTCCTCCAACGCCTTTACCTCTCTTTGTGCTATTTTTTGGTTCACCCTCACTGCTACCGCTCCTATTTCTTCTAGGCTTTGGACGTCCACTCACCTACCGGACTCCTTGACCTCACCGTCACGGTCCTTGGACCTTCTCGTTCACGTCCATCACCTCCTGGTAGGTCTTGTGGCCTCATCAGCTGCAGCGCATGCTCTTCGCGGGCCCTTTCAGACCAGAAAGGGTTGCCAATTGGTGGCAACGACAACGCCCTTTCAGCAGCGCCAGCAGCCGACATGGCTTCACCACGAGTAGCCCTTGGGCTCATAACCTGTCAGCGGAGCTGCTGCAGGCAGTAGCGGGCAAACCCTTGTTTTGAGCACACAAAAGGCCTATGTCAGGCGGTCGATTTGATGTGTCATCCTTGCGCAGGGGCACCCATGCCTATGCACATGTTACAGTACACTTCTCGATTTGTGCACTGACAAAATCAATACAGCTGTGAACAATCTGAAGTTCTGCCATTTCTTGTGATCGCACCAGTTTCGATCTCCGCACGATGTGCAGAGATGAGAGGCCTTACAAGGCCGTGACTTTTTCTGCAAGCTGCAGCATGGTGCAGGAAGAATTGGGAAAGCCGATTCCAAAAGTTCAGGCCACTCAAGGGATAATTCATCATCAGGGGCGCGCCAATCAAGCTTGCAATCAAGCTTGCTGTCATGTTGGGATTTTACTCTCTTTTTCTCATATCGTTCTGCGCAACAAATGATTTCGGAGACTCCGTTTCTCTGTTTGGCCAGCGTGCATGCGCAGGAATTGCTAGACTATCTGAAGCAGTTTGATAAGGACGGCAAAGGTGCCTTGTCCAAGGAGGAACTACAAGAAGTGATGAGAGGCAGGATGAGATGTGGTTGGGATTTGAAAAATTACGACCGGTAGGAGCTCAGAGAGGAGTTCCCATTTTAAGAGAGATCAACACAGAGCTGATGAAGTGTGGAGTGACACGCTGTGAAGGATGCCTCAGTGTCGCTCGAACTTTGCCGCGTCCAGGAAGTGAGCTGAGCGCGGATGAAGTCCAGGAGCTGCATGGAACTGGGGATGGATGCTGTCGGTTGTAGTGATTGGAGGCTGCCAGGAAGCTGCAGTACCTTCAAAGCTTGTCAAAGTCTGTCAAAGTTTGTCAATCAGTAACCTTCTCTATATATGAATATATATGATATATGATATTATATGATATTATATATAATATACATTATAGCACACACACATACATATGATAATGAATAAATAGATATAGATAGATAGGATAGGATAGGATAGGATACCAGTAGGATAGGATAGGATAGGATTAGGATTAGGATAGGATAGGATAGGTAGATAGATAGACAGATAGAATGTAATATATATTTGTAACGAGAGCAGAATCAGAACAATGCTTTCCCTGAAACCAATCCATAGACGTTGTCTTCTCTGATGATTGTCCCTACGGCACGGTGAGGCCAGTCTTCGCAAGATGCCGAGGAACAGCGCCCCGGTTGCAAGCCAATCCTCTTCGTTTAGCGCTCCACAGATGAGAGCCATCATGAACCATGGTCTTGTCATTTAACTTGTCATGGGGAAAAATCCATGAGGTGCATTCCATGTCAGATTTCAAGAAAACGAGTTGTGTTGCCAATGACAACTATGAGATACTATGAGTATAGCCACCATAGCCATCTATAGCCTATGAGGTGATGGTCACCTCGACATCGCGAAGCTATCCAAGTACTTCTTGGAGCTTGGCGGCTCTCAGGCGCGGCGGTGTGATGTGGTGATAGACCATACACTTGACATCACTTAACAACCTGTTGCATGCCTGAATGACATGTAGACCCGCTCGTCAAGTAAGCAATTTGTTGCCTTCCAGATCCTGATCTCGAATATCAAAGTACTAATGGTGTTCGGCTCATCGCAGATGAAAATCGACAAAAAAGAACGAAGAACGGAACCTTCTCGCCGTCCCGACAGGTTGGGACTGAGACAGCCAGGTGGGCTGAGAGTTGTGCTTCTGACCGAATACTTTTTTCCCGATCTTTCAACATCCGAGATTGATCGGGCAAAACAATGTACCTTCCTGGCATGGTGTGTGACATGTTCTGACTTATAATTTATAAAGTAATCATATTCCTGCAACTTTGTCCCATCTCGGCATTTGGTTTGCAGAGGATGGAAAGGGATCGTTGACCTGTGCAGTCGGTGCTTAGGCGGGACGTCGCCTCCAGGGTGCGCGAAGCCCGCGAGCTCAGTGGCGATGAGGATCCCTTCAGTCAGCCACTCTGGCCCCTCCCATTTGATCCGAAGGCACCCTGGGTCACCCTGGCACCTTGAAGGCTTTTCTTTCCTTTTTTTGATGCTAAAGCTCTCCATTTCTGCACCTCACTTCGAAACCGTTTCTTTAAATCCAGGGATCCGTTGGATTGGTGTAACCCGAGCTTGAGTTGCCGGCGCCTAAGGCCATTGTTCGGATAGCCGAGGCAGAGGCCTGGTGCCCACCATCAACCCTGTGTCATGCATGTCAACCTAAGATCCTATCCTTGTCATTAAACCTCCGTGAGCGGGTTCGTGTTTGTGTTTTTCTCCTGCTCGAGGATTGTCTTGTGGAGCCACATTTCCCAGGAAAAACTAGCACCAACGTCGACCTAGGCTCAATACGACTTGAAGGACGCAAAGGCGTTCGCACAATTCCTCCACGATGCAGACGTACGTTTGGTTCGTGCCAGGTGCAAGTCCTACTGTTGTTACAGTTACGTAGTTCTTGCTGAGGGTTCGGGCCTTTTTTATCATGTGACTTGCCACAAAGTCAAATGCATTGCCTCAGGTACCTCACTGACTTGGTCCGTTCCAGACGGCCACTGCCACGTCGCCAAGAGCTTCAGTCCATGACCTTCGTTCCGCCTGACTCCGAAGAGGCTGAAACAGCCTTGGTGAGCCACCAGGAAGTACAGACCTGGGCTGAAGGGAAAAGGGATGCGATCATCTGCTCGATCTCCCATGCTTGGGAGACTCGCGAGCATCCAGATCCTTGTAGGTATCAGCTCGAGCATATTGTGCAGCGTGTTGTCTTGTACGAAGCTGCTTTCAAGGCTGATGTTTGGGTGTTTTACGATTATGCATCGTTGTTCCAATTTGAGCGGTTCTCTCCTGAAGAAAAAAGCAGCTTCGGAGCAGCCATGCAAAATATGCATGTGATGTACGCGCACGAGCACACGCTGACCCTGCGTATCGAAAGTCTCACACCAGATGTTGCCTGGAATCGCATGATGGCCAACGAGACGGAACTTGTCCCTGTTTATGACAACGACCAGAAATGTGTTGTAGCCAAACCTTTGAAGGATTTGGTTGCGAACAAATCCGCCTACCTTTCTCGCGGATGGTGTATGGCAGAGGTGGAATGGAGTTCGCTCAGGTCTGGCTCTCAGAATGTACATGAGTTGTATCTTGATTTATTTTGAAGGCACGCTGCTTACAAGTGCTTACAACATATAATGAGTCCTGTGACATTACAGCTACTGAGGACGGTAAATCTCCAGCACCAAAGAATCGATGGAGTCGATGACCGCTCAGATGATGGCGGCCGCCTGAATGGCAGGATCCCGATGACCCCTGAAAAGTTTCGATCCGAAATGGAAAAGGCGGTCTTTACTCACAGATCGGATGCGGAAAGCGTCATCCGTTTGCAAGAAAAGATCTTTTTCGAGAAGGTGACGGTGTGTGAGCACCTGGAGTTGGAAGGCCTTCCGGCCCAAGAGATGCTGGCGTTGGCTCATGCTCTTCCACTCTACAAGAACTTGAAAAGCTTGAAGCTGAAAACCTTTCGATGTGACGAAGAGCAGGTTGAAGCCCTTGCAAAGGCACATTGACCCGTAACATCACTTGATCATGCAACGTTTTTGCATTCTTCAGTGTGCATGTGTCGACTCGCGCCCATGGAAGGCATTCGCAACCAGCGGATTGCACATGCTCACAGTCTGCAATGACGACGCCAAGAGCTCTGAACTCATGGTCAAGGCATTCTTGGGGGCCTCTTTTCAACAACCCCTGTTTTTTAATTGTTTTTTCATGTGCGGTTCAGCCCTTCATAAGAACATTTGGTGCAAGAAAGATATTGGCTGGTGCAAGATGGCGTACGGCGTAAGGGGTTTGTCAAGGATGTGTTGCGTAAGCATGGTGCGTAAGGGCATTTATGGTAAGCTCTTAAGATTCATGTAAACGGTAAACAACTGTGTATGTGCAAGTTGTGCACCCGCACCTTCTTCTTGCATGGTTTGCCTTTGGCATGACTGCCCGGAAGCTGCATATCAATTTTTGTAGTCCACAGGTCCACAGGCCAAGATTCTTTTTGCGCACGTGCAACTGCGCCAGAGAACTCAAGCCTCCGTTCATGCGTCTGGCTCTTCATCGTCATCCTCCTCTTCAACCTTCAGCTCGTCTTCACCAATGCACCCAACATACTTGGGAGATCAAAACAGGCCAACACGCCCTTGGGTAAGCAAAAACTGTGGCAAGGTATGGCAAGGTGTCATACAAATCCCTCCGAGGGAGGGCAACATAAGGTCCTGTCTGGGCGGTATTGTGTCCAACGCATGCTCCAGCAAAAAAAGTTTTAAAAAAGCGCTTTGTCCGTGTGGGAAATTCATTGACGATTTAAAGCTACTACATGTCATACCTAGAAAATATCTTGGGCTACAATTTCAGACTGAAGGCACGTATCAGACTGAATGCAATTCGGGCAGAAAATCAGACTGAGGACAAGTTCGGGCAGCTTTAACCAATTCAGGCACAAATCTGGTGAACTTAGTCTGATTCTAGGATATAGGCTGGCTCAAACACAGCTGAAACATGTTAAATCACCTTGACCGAGACCATCCTCGGGTCGAGTGTCTACTAAAGTCTAGCGCAACCACTACTACGAACTACTATCTACTAAACTACTTATAGTATAATTCTGAGTGAACAACCTATGATAGAAAGCAACTCAGAAACCTAGGGAAACATGTCTTGGTCCTTTGCGCAGTAGAGGCATAGGAGTGACGCACTGTGTTGTCCAGATTTTTCTGTGACGAGCTGACGAGCGTTGATATGGACAGGGCCTGTTTTGTGACAAGCTCGGGCAACAATTTTCCAGAATCATCTTTAGTCATCTGAAAACTCGGGCGAAAATACCCGAAATCAGGCGGAAAAAACCCACTAATGGGGCGAAAAAACAAAACGAACCACATTTTGTTCAAAAAACTTGGCAATCGTTCTCGTCCCGGCTGACTGGTGAGAGTTGTTTCATGGATGAACCAGGCTCCGCGACGATTTGGCTGTAAACCCGTGTGAGGGTTATGTGAGATTTGTAATGTAAATTTAAATAAGTGTATAAAATGTGGTCCTTTGAGGCCCTCACAAGAGGCATGGAAGCTGTCCATGCTGCCAGTTTGTCTCTTCAAAAATCATGATGGCCAGAGGCTTTATGTTTGATGCCTCTATCGATAGTGTGTGCTTTGTTGATGTATGTTCCTGGATGAAACCCCTGAGATTGAACGATTTTTTGTTGTTTGGTGCTGCAAAGTTGCAGATTTGAACAAATCACCTCAGTCTAGTTTTTTGCCTCGGCCAGAATTTCTGAACTCGGGCATAAATTCAGACTGAGCTGGGTCGGTCTAAAATTCCGGACTGAGGATTTCGTGGTAGAAAATTGGCAGGTTTGGGGACCCGAATTTCGCGAAAAATACATGAAATTGAAAGATCCACGAAATGGCCGCGAAAGCTGGAACGGGCCAAGTCCACCAGCCCCTTGCAAAGTCTCCTTTTCTGCGGCAACACTTTTATGGTGAAAATCTTTCACTATCCCCTCTTCTGTTCCTTTATTTTTCCTTTCTACCTCGCTTTCCTTTCTTCTTTTTTTCTTTCCTCTCTTATTGCCTTCATTTTCCTTCCCTTTTCTTCACTTGTCCATTTTTATTTCCGCTCCCTTTACCCTTCATGTTCTTTTACTTTCTTCTTTCCATTTCCTTTCCTCTTCCTCTTCTTCTCCTCTCTTCCTTCCATTTTCGCTTTTTTTTCTCCTCTTCCTTTCCTCCTCCTCCTCTGATGGGTAGATGAGGTGTGTGAAGAGACAGCGGGCAAAGACTTTGCAAATGCCAGGCATAATCTTTCTCATGGGACTGCAGGCTTTCGCTTTTCACTGCGAAAGGTCCGCGAAAGATGTTGTTTTAACATGTCTTCCGCAAAAGCCACCATTGTGGCGAGTTAGGATAGGTTTTTCTCACCTGCCAGGTGAGGGTCTCTAATAGATTTTGACAAAGGTGCAATTCCTCCTTTTTTTCTTCTTCCTCTTCTTGTTGTTCCCCCTTCTCCTTCTTCTCCTCTTAGCTTTCTCCTCTGCCAGCTCCGGATGCAGTGGGCCAAGCCTGGGCCCGAACACTATATCGCGAGCTCCGGATGCAGTGTGCCACGCGTGGACCAGAACTCCGCATCGCAAGCTCCGGATGCAGTCGGCTCCGGATGCAGTGCGCCATGCTTGGACACAAACACATGCCAGACAGAATGTCAGAATGTATGGCAGGTAGAACACTCGAAGAAAGTTTTTTTTACAGTTCAGGTGTCGGCTACAGTACGCTTAGCCATGGAAGTGTCTGGAAAGGGGCACCGCACACCCATGTAGCCCCAGCTCGATTTGGCGTGCGTCGTAGCGCGCTCTCGCGTGCATGCGGTGCTCTCACGTTTCAAAGGGACGTCATTTTGCGTGGCAGGTGTGGCACTCTGAATGATTCCTATTCCATCCTGTGGCAGAAGTCTACCTTTGACAAGTTGGTGCAAACATGGCTGGCTTAAAGCGTATTGTTTTTTTACGCTGTTTTGTGCATGTCATGGTGCACTCGTTTTCATCCATCGTCCTTGGAAGATTCAATGACATGTGTTGAGAAAAGAAAACAATCTATGCCAGAGCAATAAAACCGCTATTGTCCGACTCATGGCATTCAACGCGCATGGGCTGCGAACAACCTAAAAATTAATTACTTTACTTCGTGTAATTCCCACCTTGACAAATCATTCTGACATAGTTCGACATATCATCTGGCATTAAAAATATAATCAATATGTATTTTGACGGGCTCTCTGGCATTCTATCTGGAATATCCCCCGACATTCTATTTGACATTCTTTCTGGCATCTTCTCTTGCATATATACGCAAAATATATCAACATATGATATGATAATCGATCTAAAGGTCCTTGCAAGGAGTTTTAATTGAGAAAGCCGTGCATGTTATGTTGGAAACCCTCGCGAAAGTTTTTTTTTTCGAGTTTGCGAACGTAACATATTTTTTTTCGCGAAAGTTTTGCGAAAGTTGGATGTCATGATTGCCTAACATAGGTTCCGCGGAAGATAAACATGGAGTTCGCGAAAGTTGCGTGAAAGTTGCATTTTTATTCGCGCAGAATGGCCGTTCCCGGATAAAGGAATTTTGATCAACCATCATATTCATTGACATTCCATTGTTTATGTGACATTCGTTTTGACATTCCATCTGGCATCATCTGGCATATTTTCTGACACTCTAATTCGCATCTACTCTGACATTCTGTTGGCATCTATTCTGACATAGTTTGGCATATCATCTGGCTTTAAATCTTGTAAATAGAGATATTCTACAAGTTTGTGCCTTGACATCCAAATCATTTTATATGTTGTATATTTAATTTTATAACACGGCTCAAATATATTTATAAATGGGAGTAACTTGTATAAGTCATCTTAAAATTATATCAATAGGTAGGGAGATACAACATCAGATAGCAAATACATCAACAAAAATACAAAATAGCAAAAATAGCTGTTTTTTGGCCTGGAAACGGATGGTTTGTATGGCAGGACAATTTTTCTGCTCAAGTGGAGCACAATTTCACGGGAAGCATGGCCGCAGCTGAAATGTGATAGCACAGAGAGCGACGCTGCAGGATTTCAAATCCTGGCGTTTCCTGTTGTTTAAGAGAATCGCGCGTGTGTCTCCTGAGGTTTAGAGAAGAAAACAAGGATGCGCATGTGTTTCTAGATTTTACACTTCCATTCCAGAACAAACACAGAGACATAAAAAGTGATTGTGAACGCGTATGTGTTCAAGATGTGTTTCCACATCTACACACATGGTGCTCAAAAATCTCGACATTCGGGATGTGTTTCCACAAAAACATGGGAACGCGCATGTGTATCCTCATGAAAATACCAAAATGGCAAGGGAACGCGAGAGCTTCTCATCACCATCGTGCTTGGAAACGCGGATGTGTTATAAACGGGGTTTTTATTGTTTTTTCCCTAAGATTGAAATCCGTAGCTGTTTTGCTCGCACAAGCTCACCCGAAACGCTGTTTCTGCCAGAAACTCTTCACATTTCGAGACAAAAACTAAGGAAACGGCATGCAACGGGAAAAACGGAACTTCCCCAAATCACATGACAATTGCCAAAAAAATTCTACAAAATTTAACAGCAAAAACATACAAAAAAAATAACTTAATTTACAAAACCTAACATAACTTAACATAACTTCAACTTAACTTCCCAAAGTCCTTTTTTAAGATCCCTAAGACCATCTTAAGTCAAGGCACATCTTTGTAGCATTCTATCTGACGTTCTTTCTGCCATCTATTCTGACATTCCTCTCTGGCATTCTTTCCAGTATTCCATGTGGAATAAATTCTAACAGCCTATCTGACATTCTTTGTGTCATTTGTTGGGGTCCGTGCGTGCGCAGCCTGATCTCAGGCTCGCCACAGGCTTCGAGTCCGTGCGTGCCCAGACTGCCGTGGAGCTCGCCAAAAGTTTCTGGGGCGATGGAAATTACTCCACTTGAGCTGGCATTTGTG